ACATTCTCTATTTCTTTTGCTTGAGGCTCGGAATTCAAATGGTAAAATGTTTTCAAGGTTTCTTCCTTGGCTTGGAGTTTTGATTCCGTTTCTTCCAAGCTGCTCCCCAAAGCTGCCATTTTAATAAGTGCTTCATTAATATCTTGGTCTTTCTTCTCCAAGACCTTCCGATGTGCCTCACGGAAATTGTGCAATTCTTCATCCTTCGTCCTGAGACACTCTTGGACCTTTAAAAGCTCTGTTGTTGAGTCGTCCAGTAAATTTCTCAGCTGGTTGCATTCCGTCTCTTGTAGTGTGAGCCTGGTTTCTAAGCCTGAAACATTAGAAAAAACTAACTGATGAGACATTTCTTCACAAGCGGACTTAAGCTGGTCCCGTTCCCTCTCTAGCTCTTTGATGTTTTCTTCAAGCCTGTGAACAGTACACTCTCTTTCTGCCAACTGTTCTTCAAGGTGGTGAACGAAAATGCTGGCCTCTGTATTGGCATTCAGCTTCTCTTTCTGCAAAACCTCCATCAGCTGTTCCTTCTCCTGCAACTTATTCTCATACTCTTCTAGCCGATCTTCTGTCTCTTTCAGGCTAAGTATTAATTGCTGCTTTTCTTTTTCATAACTGCCAAGCAGTTCCTCGTAATTCACCTGCAGCCGTTCTTCGATAAGCATACGAGCTTCTTCACTGGTTTCCAGCTGAGCCTGTAGACCTGCAAGTTTGTCTTGCAGCCTCTGGGACTCTTTTTGATAGTCTTTCTTCAAAGCTTGCTCCATTTCAAGTTCCCGAAGTTTCTGACATTTCTCCAAAAGCGAAGACTCTACTTCTTTCAACTTTTGCTGGCTATCTTTAAGCTGGAAACCAAGTGCAACCTCATTGTTCTTCCACTCTTCTTGCATTTCTTCCACCTTCTCCTTCTCCAGTTTCAAATCTCCTTTCAGTTTTGCCAAAGCTTGCTCTTTTATGGATAGCTCAGCTGATGCACTGTTGAGTCGGGCCTGCAAGCTCAAGATTTCAGCCTCGTGGTGCCGGATGGTGTCTTTCGCTTCACCGTAGCTATGCTTGAGGCCTTGTATCTGATGGCTAAGCACCTCCTGACGTTTACATTGTGCCTCCAGTTCAGTCTGAAGGTCCTCGTTGACTTTATGGAGCCTCTGCCAAGCTTCCGAAGAGGGATCTGCCAACTCATTCTTAAAGAAATTGATTAAACACTAACATTAGTAACACTCTCATTTGTCACGGCTGAGTGTCACACCTCTGGACAAGATGGACTATATTAAAACTTCTTGTCTCTTATAGCTGCTGCCTAATTTCTCAGATCGAGGCATCAAATTTGGAGGCTGGTTTCAAATCATCTGGAGATTGTTTTGTAGGAAAACAAAGGATAGGGTAAAAAAAAAGAAAGAAAAAACTGAAGAATCTACAGGAAGGGAGTGAAAAATAAATCTAAAATCTAAGGACAACCAGTGACAAAGAGCAAAGGGAGGCGGGAGCAGAGCAGAGACATCATTGTTCAATATTGTTTTCCAAAACAAAACAATTTGTTGGCAAAATCAAACACTAGGATGAGGCTAAAAGGAAGTAAAAGGTCCTCCTAGAGAGCATGCGAGGAGCGGAAAACACAAAATAGTTTTTATTTAAATTTCGGTTAGAAGAGTTTCTACTGTATGCAAAAAGATTAATCACACAAAAACAGTTAATAAAAAAAGATAAAAGAACAATATAAATAAATGCAGCAAAATAGGAAAATAAAACAAAACGAACACAAATAGCAGCATAATACAGCGCTGCGGACGTGCGATAAAGTTACAACAAAGCATGCAGACATAAAGGAATTAAATCGGAAGAGACGGACCAGAGCAGAGCCAGAAGCCGGAGAATTTAGCCTGAACTGCTGAAACCTTTTTTTTTTTAAACGATGGTAGGAAAAGCCCACAGATGTGACACTCAGTGAAATATTAGATGTACACCATGCTAAAAATGACACCATGCAGCATAGCCACCAAGATGTGTTAGTGAGAAGACCCGTTCACCCTAATTATAGGCTTTCAGAGAAGAGAAATAAAAGATTGGGTGTTTTTTTTTAGGTTTGATGCAAAGGAAAAAAAAAAAATCCTAGAGAAAGCAAAATCACCTTCTACATGTTTTAAATCTACGTCAAGATAACATGAAATGTACGAAGGCCTAGGCAGTGGCATGCAGCTTGCCTATAGCTGGACAAGAACACAAACTGAATCTGTCTAGAGTTTGAAGTTCTACAAACAAGCAGTAAATACCATTAAGACAATGTTGGCAAGCTTCCAAACACCACATACAAAATGGAAAATTGGGGAGCTGGCAAAGGTTTGGCCACTTTAGGAATCCTGCTACCTGTAAAAGCGAAGGCAGCAAATTTGTTTGCTGGATTAAACTTCAACCTTTCCACAACCAGAGTGCACGGTACACCGAGTTACCTCATCATAGACTGAAGAGTAAATGATGCAGAGGTACCAAGTGAGGAGTCAAAAGAAGTTCCGAGTTTGTAAACTCCCCATCGGAGAACCTCAAAGCACACTGCTGCCTGTTACACTTCATATAAAAGTGGATTTTACAAGCGCAGAACTTTTTGATGCTACACTTGGCGCTCTTTATCTTTTACACTTGTATCACAACTGAGGCAAAACCCTTTTATAATTAATCTCAGTTGCATCAACAGAGTTTGCAATGACTCTTAAACTAACCATACACATATAGATTATCTGCAGAGTTTCTATGGTCAGATGGAAAAAGTGCAACAGATTCCTCCATCTATGCTAAACTGTGTGGATGGAGGAATCTTCCACTGGGCCGAGCTTCAGTGTCTTACTAGACGGCCCCACTGGCTGTCCAAATACCTGAACAATCTGATTGGATGCAGGCATTGTTCGGGTATTTTGAGAGCCAGCGGGGCCGACTGAAGCTTGGCCCAGTGGGAGATTCCTCCATCCACACAGTTTAGCATAGATGGAGGAATCTGTTGCACTTTTTCCATCTGACCATAGAAAATCTATAGGTGTATGGTCAGCTTTATCCAGCACACCTCCAACATACAAAGTGGCTGCCATCGCTTACCGTAGGCAACAGGTACATTTTAAAATGCTGAAAATGTACAGTCAAGGCCAAAAGTATTGACACCTCTCCACTTTCTCCCTTTAGCATCCCAATTTGCCATAAAATAACTTGTATATCCCTGGTACCACTCTAAGGTCTTGTACCTCTATCCCTCTGGATTCCGTCACCACTCCACACTGTCTGCATTTACAAGTAGGGCGTGGCTTCACTACATTTGAATTGCCATGAAATATTTTCAAAATTTACACAAATAAAAGAACGTCTCCATTGTTTATCCCGTAGTCCATACAGCAGACACTTTGCTTTTGCTTTATGACTTGGCTTCTTCTTTGTAAATAGTAAAACAAATGAAATTTGAAGGGACAGAATTATTGGCATCTCCGAAAAGTTAAAATATTGGATTGTAGTGATCTTCCAAGCAGACCATTCACTTTAATTCGTTTTACAGGTGCCCTCAAACTCATAATGAGTCACTCGGCTTACTTGAATAGAGAAAATTAGTCACTCGGGTGTTTTCTGTCATTGTGTTCAGCACAGGGAACACAGACAAGCAAAAGAAAAGCAGGAAAGGAAAATGGAAAGAAAAAGGAGAGGGGGAAGGGAATAGACACACATGGTACAGGTAAAGGCTAAAAAAAAAAAAACCCATCTCCAAAGAGCTTCATGTCCCCGTGACTCTGGTTCCTAATAATATGAAGCTGTTTGAGGTCCATGGGCCAATAGCCAACCTCTCTGGATGTGGACAAAAGTGGAAAATGGATAGGAGATTGAAAAGAATGATAATCTAGATGGTATAGAAAGAACCAGGGGAAACAACTTTGTAACAGATCTTAGCTGACCACCAAGATCAAGGTACAACAATATCAAGTCACAACATCTTTAGAAGACCCATGAAAGCTTTGCTTCTGAAAGGCAGATATGGAAAAAAAACAGAAAAAATTGACAAGCCACAGTCCTCCTGGAACTATGCAATGGACTGAAGAGATGACATTGATAAGTCACAGCAACTTTATGTTCCCAGAAGGAAACCTCACTATACAAGAGAAGATTATCATCACCACTGAGGAAGAGCCAAAACTTTATGGGGTTGCTTTGCTGCCTTTGGCTCCGGGTGCCTAGATTCTGTGCAGGGAACTTTGAAGTCAAAAGATCATCCAGGAATTCTGGAGTGACAGATAATGTCCAATATTAGAAAAAAAGCTCCGGATCATTCATATGTAATAGGTAAAGACCCAAAACATACATCCAAGGGAACCCAAGAATGGTTGAAAAGCAAACACTGGACTGTTTTTATAGTGGCCTGTCATCAGTTCTGGCCTGAATGCATCAGAATATTTATGGAAAGAGCTGAAACTCACAGCTTGGAAAAGGAACCCATCAAACCTTGGAGAAGAAGCTACAGAAGACACTTGCAGTCATTGCTTCCAAAAGATGTGCTACAAAATATTAGGTGAGGTGTACCAAAAATTACGTCCATGGCCTTTTCATTTGTTTTATTGTTTAGAATGTTGAGTCATATAGCAAAAGAATGGACTGTGGAATAAAGAATGGTGAACGCTATTTTCTTCTGTTAGTTTCTAACTGTAAATTATTGATTTGATTTATAAAGCGGTATCAATACTTTTGGCTGTGACTGTACACTTGCTAGAACTACTGCTCCCCTGTAACGCCGTGGTATGGACCATCTGCCACAAGCTATATCGGCATAACTCGCCGTCATTTTCTATCCAAAGTTTATTATTTTTGGGGGAGAATAAGCAAACTGAATGCCACCCTAAAGATATGTATGTAGCATGCAAATTACGCTATTTATGCACTATGTTATACTATTCTAACACTATGTTGGACCTGCTCACTGCAAAGAGCGATGTCACTCTGACAGCGAACAGGATTATGGGTAAGGACAGAGATGTAACCGGTACCTGTAAAATGTATCCGTCAGGGGCGTGTTGGTGCTGCACCAAAGCCTCCTTTAGCCGATGCTGCAAGAGGAGGTTTTCCGCCAGGAGATCGGACACTTCCTTACGAGACTGCTCCAGCTGAATGGGGAAAAAACAGAAGTAACAAGCATCAGATATTTATGAACCAACACACCGATTATATGCTCCCTAAATTTTTACAATGCCTTCTTAACAACTACAGTTTCATCTGATGGGCAGTTTTTATGGCTGGTGTTGTCAACCCTCCTTAAGATTACAGAACTCCATCTATCCTCATCCCACGCCAAATGCATACACATTGTGTGTAGGAAAAGCGCTCTTGGGAGATATAGTTCTGGGGGCCTGCAGATCCTTCTTAACAGCTTTCCCCATAAGAAATGTACAAGCCTAGAAATGATGTAAGAGGGAGTCATACATTTGGTTTTTCTTTTATAATTATTGGAAAAAAACAACAACAATGCTGGGGCATGCTGAAGAGAGGGCGGTCTGGGGTAAATTTGGGTCATGCCTATACTAAATGGTCTAATGATCTAGAAAATGAATTATGAGCAGGAGATTTTGATTGTATTTGTGTAAGGAAAATGAAAAATTGCAATCCAGCATTAAAAATCTTATTGTTTATGCCCAGGAAAAAGTTACTTGAGTGCTACAACCACCATGATACCATTGGCCGTTACCTGTCTTTCCAAGAGGACGGTGATATCTTCCACCGGGTATTTTTTAGAAGGGCTCACTGGCAGGGGAGCGATGGGTATCTGTTTCTCCTCTCGCAGCGGGGTTGTTTCCACCTGCTGCCAACGGTGCTCGATTTCCACTTGGACATTTGGTCGACCGTCAACGGAATCTGACCATGCCGGTCCCTTGTCCACCTCCATGCGAGAGCTTTCTTCTCCTGAGGGTTCCTCCATGGAATCTGAGCTTTCGAACCTCTTCCTGCGTTCTTCCCTTCTCCGAGCCCTCTCTCTTTCAAGCTCCACTAGGTCGTTCTTTGAGTCCATGGTGTCATAACAAGATACAGACTTCAAGGCTTCGGCCGCCTGCGCCCTTTCCTGAGCCAGTGCTTGCTGGATGGGTCGGAATTCAGCCCAGTCGAAGGTTTTCGAGCGTCCTTCTCTCCTGCGTTCCCTTGCCCGGCTTCTCTTTTGCTCCCCATCAGCATCTGAGTGCTCAGAGTCTTGCTTATCGCTCTGCATGGAACTGGAGACGAATGAAGATGGAGCCTTAGTCTTCTCCTCTGGCAGAGAACTACAATAAAAAAAAAAAGAAATGGTGTAAGTAGACAGTTACTACTCAACAAAAGGTTAACCCTAGGAGATGCCAGATAGTGCAGGAGACTTGCAGCAGACTTCCAGAGATAGAACATATCATACTCATTATATTACAGGAATTGAGGATGAAAACTACTAAGAGGAACTACAACGTTCCAGCAGATGATACAGAGGGCATGCTGGGAATTGCAGGAGATCAGCAGCTGCAAGAGAGAAGGATTCCCATGCATGGTTGACATTACACTGAAGGGGAAATCTCTGAGTCCATAACTTCACAACACTGGGTTTCAGATAGGTCCACACAAAAGGGCAGCACGTGAGGAAATGCCACCAAAAGTAAACACCTAAAAATGAGCTCTCCTACAAATTTTCTTATGGTGCCACCAGTTATTTCCCCACTAGTAGGGTCACCTACTAGCAATAGTCAATGTTGTAACTTAGAAAGCTCATGCGGAAGGCAAAAGGAAACTTTTTCACATAGCATAGCTGAATGTTAGGGGTTGTTTACACACCATGCCTGTTGAGCTGTGTTTTTCTGCACATGTAAGGTGTGAACAGTTGTTTTGTGTGACCGATTCACACTATACGTGTGGTGGTGTGCAAAGAAACACAGCTTAACGGACATGTGAACAAGCCCTAAGTCAATTTTTGATTTTCTGGAAAGTCAAAGTATAAACTTCCCTTTTAAGGAGGTGAAATGGCAAGAAAAAAAAAAAGCATGCGAAACAAGAATCCTGAGAAGGTCCCTGGTGGGAGAGAAGAGAGGAATAAATCTGTTCACCTGACTACAGGGCTTAGTCTCTCCTCACAGCTCTTTGCAACTCCCTTACCAATAAGCCATCGCCTTTTTTTGAGAGGAGACAGATGAGAGAAATGTATGCATAGGAATAACATTATAATTGCCCGGTCTGATGATGGTGTTGGTAGCAGTTGTCTTGGACAGTCGGTGTGAGGGAGAGACAATGGCAGAAGGGGTAAGCCACCGCCATGCCAGCAGAACATAAATTCATACAAGCAACAAGTGCATACAGGCCCATACATTCCGAGGAGACATTCTTCAGTATTGTAATAGATAGTCTGCTCTCCCTTAAAGACAACCAACCACAGCCGAGCTTAAGTGAGAGTCTAAATATTCAATCTGACATGATAATTGCGCAGATTTGCTTTTAAAAGATTTACATTTGTCCCTTTTTGTCTTCAGTCTGTTTTATTGGATTATTTATCAGCTTGAGATTCCAAGGTGTAACAGAGGCTTGTCCTGTCTACTGCTCGCATACCACCGACCCAGCTCCTAAGAGTGCCCAGCAATGTCAGATAACAGAGCCCGGTACATCGGAGGTACATGCAGTCCTTGGGTTACGAACAAGATAGGGACTGTAGGTTTGTTCTTAGGTTGAATTTGTATGTAAGTTGGAACAGGTACATTTTTTAGGTGTAACTCCAGCCAAAAAAACTTTCGTTTTGGATAGCATAGGGAAGGGTTGACCCCCTGTAACATTTGTTTTGCTGTCCTCACAGTGGCTCTAACCCCACGCCATACTAACCAAAACTAAAAAAACTTTGCATGGGGTTCTACTTTAAATGCAACTTGGACAGATGTTTGGACAACTTCCTGTAATGTACAGTACCAGACCTGGAAGAGGCGGCGGGCACTCCTCGTCTGTACGTCTGACAACTTCCTGTAATGTACAGGAGGTACAGTACTATGAACCAGGCACACTCCTTGTCTGCATGCCTTACAACTTCCTGTAATGTACAGGAGGTACGGTACTACGAACGTGGGCGCGAGCACGGCAGCATTACAACTAGTGGAAGAGCCTGGGACTTCGTTCGTAAGCAGGAGTCGTACGTAACTCGGATGTTCCTAACTCGGGGACTGCCTGTAAAAAATTACAGGGCTCTGGTGTCTCATCCTGTTACGCACAACCTGATGCCGACACCAAGAGCTCAAGCGATTGGCAGGGAAGTGACAGATATTTGGGCAAACAATCAATTCTACTACTTGAAAGGAGATGTCTAAGGGGTAGAGGAAATGGATCTCGGAGTCTGTGTGTTGGTCACCAGCTACAGAATTGTTAGCATGACTTTGCTCTTAACTTGAACTCTCCCCCCGGCTCTCAAGCTGAAGAGTCAGAATATGATGCAAAGGAAGCAAACATAAACCTGTTAGAAGAAAGCATGCAGAGTTCAAATAAACTAAGCATTCAGCATAAGCCCAGCTGTAACCAGTTCTCTTTAAAACAATACTTGTGAAGCACAGTGGTGGCAGCCATTTTGCTCGAGTGATACACGTTAGAACGCAGGGCACCTGGAATCAGCAATAACAGTGTGAATTCTACAGAACTAAAATAAAATCCCACTTTAGTGGAGAGAAACACCATTTCCTCCCGGACAAGGACTAAGATGATTTATGGCAGACCCCTACCTACTTATGTTCTACAGAAGAAACCCTGCACACCCACCATCCCTTTTAGTGTGCAGCACTCTCATAGAGGAAGAAGAAACTGCTTAAAAGGTGACACCCCTGTGTGAGAGGTTGTCACTGGGACAGGAAATGAAGGGAATCTACCCAAGTGGGAGACAGATGGGGACTAAAACCAAACCAGAGTTTCAAACCTTCCACTATGCTATGCAAAAATAAAATGTCTGGAGCTGGTCTATAAAAAAGAAAAAACAGTTTACAAAAGTAAAAATGCTGCATTTAAACTGCCTCAGAGCCACGGCCTAACTAATGTGTGACTTGAATGTTTATCCCATTTGGGTGCTTTAATTGTGTGTCTGGAAGGCGGCACAGTATTAGGCTTAATGGTAAGCACATGTCTTGCAGTACTTGGGTCCCCAGTGCAAATCCCGGCCATGTATCGGCACGCCACCTTCCTCCCACACTCCAAAGACTTTGCTGGTAGGTTAATAGGCTAATGTCTATCCTAGTAAAAAATCCCAACGCTGGGCCCTGGTAACACTCTGTTCAGTAGCTAATGCAGCTCTAGTATGCATTTCAGGCATGGAGCCACATAAAAGAAAGATCTCAATGTATAGAAGGGGGCCCGTTTTAACTGTTCACTTGTTTGGAGTGAATATCCTCCGTTTCATCTACAGTGCTGAATCAGCACTGTGAAAATCTGTCTCCTTTTACTGCCCAGAATTTCAGGCTCAGGGGTTGCAAATACACAGAAATACTGTCTTATAGACTTTGCTAGATGATACGCAACCTGATCGGTGTCACTAATTTACTTTATATACACACCCCCTTTGTGTTCCCTGGTTCCAGTACTGCCCGCTCCTGTAGTCACTGATGACACGGAGGTGGCACTCTACAGTCACATGAGAAAACACCGCAGTTATACACAGGGGCCTCTCTGGATCTGACTCCAAATCAAAAGGCCGACTCTATGGTATTTCCGGCTGTGGAACAGTTGCCATGCTTCATGAACAGCCCAGGTAGCTTAGTGTTGTATTTTAAATGTATTTTTTTGTCACATGATGTGCAGTAACTCATGGCAACCACTGAACTAGTAACAGACCACACAAAATAACTGCTCAAAGCACCTCCTGCTGGCTGCAGTAAATATTTTCAGTCTTCTAACCCCCGGGGCTGTCAACATATCCTCGTGAAAGGACAAGGCCGCTTCCCATCATGAACTGGCTGCCCCCACTCTGCCAGGCGGCTGACACACTGAAATACTCTAAGTCACGGTAGCAAAGCATGCAGGGAACCACAGTGAATACAAACCACAAGACGTTTATACAGGAGAGAACACAGCTTTCCAACCTGGGCTTCAGCACAGACAATTTCAGAGAGAAGCCTTTCCTGCGGTTAGCATGGAAATTAAAGAGATGGAGGAATAAGAACAGGAAGAGGAGCGGGAGGAAGAAGAATATTGCATCATGGGGATGGGGTATTTAAATGGGAAATATTTATAAGCTAATGCAGGGAAGGAAGAGCGTTATAAAAGGATGATACTGCATCTGCTCGGCGCTAGAAACGACGTCCTCAAAGCAATGTAGCATTGGTGAGAAAACATGAAATGGGTGCCTCACCTGGTGACGTCAGGGGCAGTGTTGGGTCGCACATGCTTCATGATGGTCTGTATCCAGTTTCTCCGGATGCCCGAGGTCATTGCAGAAAGGATGAACTCCCCCTCCTTAGTCTAAACAAAACAAATTAATTTCAGTATGGTCTCATTCTCGCATGCCCAATGACAATCGTCATAATTAAGTGCAACTGTCACACACATGGCTATTCTGGGGGCTCCAACACGGTTCTTCAAGGGACCCATGACATCACTGAGGTATACTGGCCCCCCAGATGTCCTGTGTTCTTAGGCACAGTAATGGTGGGGTCATAGATTAACAATTCATGATGGCAGCTGCCACCGTTGGTACAAATTTGAAGTCCAGATGTTAGCATCTAACTACAGAGCAAGGGGGTAATAGTGTGATGTATGACTCCGCTTTCTGATGCATGTCACAGTGGGGAGGCAAACTTTATATCAACAGTCTCCTATCTCCTGGAAATACTTGCCACAAGATTTTCGAGGGTGTCTGCGGGAGTTTGTGCATATTCAGTCAAATAGCATTTATGAGGTCAGGTACTGATTTCAGATAAGATCAGAGTCTCAATTCATCTCAATGGTGTTCAGTAGGGTTAAGGTCAGGGCCTTGTGAAGGCCACTTAAGGTCCTCCACACCAAACTCATCAATCCATGTGTTTATGGAGCTGGCTTTGTACAAATGGGCACAGTGATGCCAGAAAAGAGCCTTCACTAAGATGCACTAGAAGGTTGGAAGCGCAAAATTGTCTTTGCATGCTGTATTTTAGCAGCACTCTTCACTGGAAACACCTGGACTCAATCATTTGGAGGGGTGTCGACTTACGTTTGGCCATATAACATGTGTATGACCAGTACTGGTTAAGTCATTTGGTATGGGCCTACACAGGAGGGTGTGGAAGAACTGTTATTTTAGTCACACTGTTCCTTACATGAATTTGAAATCCATAATTCCTCTGCACTGGAAACTCTGTGACATCGTGACAAGTTGACAAGTCGATTTCCCCATCCAAGTCGGCTGCCTGTTGGAGAAAAGAATGTGAGAGGATTCCAGTAACTGGCTGGAAAAAGACAGACTGAGATGAAGCGTTTACTCACCTCTTCTGCCACGGAGTCCCTGTAATACCTCAGATTCTGGTCTGTCAATACAAACCAATGCTTCTTCCACTAGAAAACAAGCAGAACAAGATCACAATGAATACAGAAATGTGTTAAATCAGGTGTGTATGCAACATTAGGTGTCCCCCAAGAGGACTTTTCATGTCTGTGAACGGTCAACCGAAGCGCCATTGTACACTGCAGTCAAGAGATTGAGCTTGGTTTGGAAAGGTCTCCTACCGGTATTTCTCACAGGAAACAAAAAACCTGATGGAGGTTCCCACTCTCCTTAACTCCATCCAATACCTTCAAAGGAAGTTACACTTAAAGCTTTATAGCTTCCTGTGTCATCTGGTTGCTACCTGGAGAAAGGATATCCAGTCATTTTAATGTCTACCTTACAGCAATTATTGATGCTCTTCCTGCTACTACTGTACTTCATATATAGATTAGCCAGTAGAGGGAGATCTATGGGTCACTGCAATCACTTAGCCTTCCTGAACTGCTGGAATCAGAGTCAGATATGGAATGTACTCTATTCAGCAAACCAGAACCGAGACTGGAATCAAGGGACACCAGAGGACAGTCATCTGATGCAATTCTTTAACTGGATCACATAGCCATCTCACTTCTACTGGTACTGGAGGGATGAGGACAGATAGCTGCCATCAGGGGGAAACTTTTCTCCCCATACAAGCCAGCCCTGGCCTACTCCCCATTGCTAGAACTCCCTATAAAAAAGGTCAGCTGGTTGATTAAGCTCCATGCAGTGCTCCACCTTTATTTTCTCCTAAGGCCGGCTGGATCTTGCCTAGATGAACCAATGCTCTCAGGTCTGTGTGCAGCTATAGGCCCCAAACAATGTAGGATTATGGAGCTTGAAACAAAGGCTGCAAATATAATGGGCAAATATGACTGCCCCATGTACACAAAGCGTGCACTAGTTTGTAGGCTTGTAAAACAATACTAAGACTATTTACAAAAAAGCAATCCTTACCTAGAAGCCCCAATTATTATTATAGATCAAAATACTTGTCTTACATAACCAATTCTAGGATGTCCACCTAGATCTAGATGAGGGTGACATCACTAGACCTTCTGAGGGGAACGTGGGAAAGCAGAGGATCCCAAGTCCCACAAAATGTCCTTCTGCACAGTGCTGGAGCGTCTCTGTGCAAGATTTGGGTTAATCAGCTTATACTAGATCCTGCAGCGACATGCTACATAATCAGCGCCTACATGAAGTGGTCTGAACCCACGGTGCAAGATAAGTATTCTCTAGATTATTCTTTCACATTTTTATATGATGTTGTTTTATCAGGGGGCAAGCAGCGCCCAGATAAATCGGACCTTCCATTTTCATTCAAGGTCTGCTTTAAAGTATATCTAAAGGCACACTTTATTTAGTTTAGGATAGAATGGTGATGGGTTAGAATAGAACCCGTCAGGTTTTAATTGAGTCTCTGCCACGAGGGGAATTTACCATCTCTACGTCTCCTGGTTACTATTGCACACCCTGACTGAAAGAGATGGAAAACCCCAAAATCTTTTGTTGTCACCAACTAGTAATATATGGCTTGTATAGTAACAGAGAGGAAATCTTAGAGAGGGGTCACTTGCTCCAGTGACAACTGTCTAATAGGGGATTTGCCCCACTTTGGAGAGCTTCCATCTCACTTCCTGTTGTGTCTTCAGGACACACAAAAAAAACAACATGACCGTGAGTTTAACCATTCAAAATAAAAAAAGTTTTGGCTTTTTACAGTATATACTCAAATTAGTTACTTTCAGGTGTATTCCGAAAAAGACTACAGGTCCCCTTTAAGTAAAACACAAAGGCCTCCATACAAGCATTCACACTGTAATTGTATGAAATGGTATCACTGAACAATGGGGCACTATTAAGAGTAAGAGAGGAAGCAGAGGTCACAGGATACCCAACCCCTCCAAAATAAATAGTGCCACTGCTCCCGTGCTATTAACTTCCAGCAAGTGCTAAATCCATCTGCGAGTGTCTGCTTCTGTAACCAAACCCCAAGTACTTCTCTTCCTACCCTTCTCCCAGTATCCCGCAGTCCCAGGAGGGGCGCAGCTGGCAGATTAATTAAGGTCATGATGTAAGCACTCCTCCCCTGCCAACTGTGCTTGTAAACACAGCGCCTGCATAACTTACAGCTCCCATCACAACAAGGCCACTCTGCGCAGAGGAGGGAGCCAATGTACAAATACTGCAGCACAGGAAAGCCTGCTTTTTGCCACTAGCACCCACATCACAACTCACACAGGATAAAAGAAAGGAGAGCAGGTGTTGTACTGACGTCTACAGGCCACACCTCTATTCTTGTAACAGGGTGTCAGACTGCTTAATCAGTGCAGATCCCACTGAGAAAAGATCTGCAGAGAAAACAAACTTGCAAACAATTTAATGACTTTGCCATTGGTTTGACTGTGCAACGTTCAGGTAAGTTCAAAACCAGCAGGCAGGAAATGTTGGGAGTTGTAACGCCTCCACTGCAAAAGACTTCAGCTTGCTCAGTTCTGGAATGAACTAAAGGCCAGGGCCGGACAAATCTCAGATCTGGGACAGACCAAAGGCCAGGGCCGGACAAATCTCAGATCTGGGACAGACCAAAGGCCAGGGCCGGCCAAATCTCAGATCTGGGACAGACCAAAGGCCAGGGCCGGACAAATCTCAGATCTGGGACAGACCAAAGGCCAGGGCTGGACAAATCTCAGGAATTTGTAGACTGAACTGGCTTGCTCCCAATGTTATGTAACCTTGCACCTCAATGCATTGTGTGTACAGAAGCTACGTCCATAGCATAACCCAGCCTGTCTTTTTATACTAAACAGTGCAGTTCCACTCACCTGCCCATCTGGGTATTGCTTGGTCAACCAGCCTTTCTTGAAGTTCAGGAGGTCGGGCTGCAGAAACAATTAAATATCAGGTATTATTTTCATTGGTCCAGCTCAGACACATTCACATGGAACATTACGAAGTTCCTGCCTTCTATTTCTGTCTCAACAATTAGAATGTGTAGAGCGTGCACTTCTAGATCTATAGCAATACAAACGTGAAAGAAAAAAAGTGTGCCCCTGGAAGATCAATCACTTGTCATACATAATTCATTAAATGATCTCTGGAAGGGCTTCCTAAGATTCACAACACTGCAGAGGGGCCCTTTCCTTCCAGATGTCTAAAACTACAAACCTTCTCTCTTCGCTCCAGCTTCATAGCTGGACGGCGATCGTCTACCACTCTAAGTGTGCGAGGGTCACTGCAGCTTCTTATACACGGATGCCAGTCATATGACCAGACCACCAGAATAACTCCCCTTCCACAAGGTACCAAAATACATTAAAGGATAGAAAGCAGGGGGCTACAGAAACCAGAAGAATTTGCCTTCACTATCCGTTAACCCCTGATGAAGTTTGGGTTCGAGTCAGGTTTCCAATTTAAATTAAGACAGGGCCCAAATGCAGAGACATCTCCAGAGGCGTCTGCGAGCGCAGCGTGCCAGCTATTTGTGAGACAAACCCGATGTTCCTGCTGTTCTGAGCTAGACGTGCCAAACATATCTGCACATAAAGACAGAAGCCCCTCGCCAAACAAAACTGTCCCATCCGCACTGTGCCCGTTCCAATACCAGACACAATGTGACATACTGAGAACAGCTGCCAACACCTGTGACCGGAACCCGAGAAGACACCACAGTGATTCCCAGAAGAGAGGTTGGGGGCATCTTATCGGCTGCAAGGCTGCTACTTTGTCTCAACTATGCAATCTGCAAAGCAGAGTTTAAATAAGACATTTGTGTTTCAAACTGCCACCTCCGAGGGGCTGGTTCTTCCACTGCCCTAGTCAGAACAACGCTCCATGTGAATGATCACATGGGGATCATGGTACCCAAGCATCTTTAAGGCTTCATGCACACGGGTGTATGAGTCTATTGAACATAAATTGCAGGCGTGTTTCCACAGCGTATTTAAACAGCACCAACAATTGACACAGTGCACATTCCCATCAGTCCCTGCCCTCAAGGAGCTCACAATCTAAGGCTCTCATACATATATATACACACACACACACACACACACACACACACACACACACACAGGGCTGATTTAGACAGGAGCCAATTAAAGTGACATTAATGTCTCAATTCCTCCCCAATGCTGGAGTAAGGGCTTACCTTAAAATGATGCCTCTTGATCGGATCATCTTCTTTCCAGCAGTTTTCAGGAGTCCCTCCAGTGCTGATGCCGGTCTCTGATTCAGCGCCGACTGCTGTGTCCCACGGAGTCTGTGCGTGTGCATGCTGCTGCATCTGCATTGACTTGTCCTGTGTCTCTCCTCTTTTCCCGGCCGAAGATTTCTACTCCGCATGCGCCCGCCCCATGAACCTTTGTGGTCAACCGAGAATTTTAAGATCTTCGGACGGGAGCGCGCGGTGTAGAAACAGCTACGTTTTAACCTTTTTTTTTTCCTTTTATGTTTTTGCATATATGTACCGCTTGCTTGCAGTAGATAGATGCAAAAAACCTAGAGGGTTTAATTATCCTTTAGACCTTCCAGCATGTGTTTGGAGTGCAGAAGGAAACTGGAGTACCTGGAGAAAACCCACACAAGCACAGAGAGAACATGCAAATTCCTTGCAGATGGTGTGCTGACCGGGATTTGCACATAGTGTTCTGGACTACAGAACACGTCCCTTATGTGGGAGGTTAAGCGAGAGAGGATGCAATCTAGTCCAGCCATGGAGAATTGGGCAGGGATAACAACACTGCTTGGAATTTCAGTGCAACAGAGGCCCTGGGAGGAAATGTGCATGTATTGCAGAGACGTACTGAATATTTTATTTATTTTGCCCAGACACAAACTTTATAGGCTTCTCGTAATGCTTCAGTAACTAACAACTTTAAGCAGAAAGGTTTTATCCATCAAAATGAAATCCTAATCCTTTTTAGAGGGCCAAAAACACTGAAAGCTTCAGAGAGCCGGCACTTTTTGACCTCACCGTCATGGAGGACTCTGTAGACCTGCGATCCAGGGATTTTGCTCTTCGATACGATGTCATATGAGAGCCAGAAACATCTGGAATGGAGGACACCCCGGTCTCATCCTGTTTATAAAGATACAGAGATAAAGGTTGTGCTATGTAGAGTGCAAACACAGGCCTGGAGCTATAAAGCAGACTTCACGCTATCTGGGATCTCAACCGTCTTGTAAAATGCGGCTGTAAAGCAAAAACTAGCCTCAGATGTATTATTTCATGTTTAGTGCATGAATGCCACGTTGCAAGTGTGACTGTAAACAATACTCCCCTTACAATGCATACTTCATACTCTACCACACAAGGTGAGCACCAATATCCTGAACCAAGATGCTGGCACAGAGAAGCAAGCAAGCATGTAAATCCTGGTGCATGCAATGTACGCTATTAACTGGGTGCCTACAGGCTGCCTCACACAGATCAGTTCCCCTGTTGGACCTGTTAATGGCCATGGTTTTGGAACAGGATGTCCAACAAGCTTAAATAAGTGTAATGCTCAGGTGTCCACAAACGTCTGGCCATATAGTGCATGATGCCTCAAAGCACACGGATTTCCTCCACACTACATAGGGGAAAAGTCATACAGCAAAACAAATGCCGACCTTAATTCTAGCCAAAGCAAGCGTCTAATTTTGTTGATAAGGAAAACAGAAAAGCTCTTGTCGCAAGCCTGAAGCCTGATGAAGGGACCCTGCGAGGTCTTGAAAGCGCTTGTTTTTATTCTGACAACTTGTTCAATAAAATGAGCATTTGGTGACTCTGTAAGGATCTTCTGTGCTGGTGACATTTCACAATTTTGTTGATAAACTCCTTTAAAAACGGTTAAATTATTTTCAGTTGTCATGCATTCCTCGGCAATTTACCACCAAAAAACAACCGTAATGTTACCCTTTTCCTGGGAAAGGTGCGCTTTTCACTGCGTCCCTGTCGGGCTTCGCTTGTCGGGGCGGAGGAACAATTGGTCTCCATGTGTTCTGGCTTCTCTATATCCAGAGCTTCGAACTTCTCAATAACCAGAGAGCGCCTGGGAGACAGGGAAAAAAAAAGAGAGAGGAGGAGAGGACATAAGAGCCAGAGCATACCTAGCATACCATGGACAGACATGACTGAACATTACAACAAAGAAAAGATAATACAGAATCATCTCCTCCATTCACAGCTTCCCCAAAAGCAAGCTCATTATAGTTAAGCAGCACCAACAAATAAAGATAGAGCAAGTTCTTCAAAACTATGAGCTCTCTATGTGTTGGGTTCTTGTTCTATTCCTTGGAAGCCTAGTCGTTACAATGCTGGAAGCTACAACTGATGCCATAGAATGCCTTCTACTGGTCCTAACACCAATACCTAAAATCAAAAATGTCTATGCAAAAAAAAATCTAGAACGCTGTAAGTTCACCCAAAGCAGATACTTCAACCATAAGCAAAGAGCACTTTTCACACCCCTATTTCTATCTACCCAGACCCCAAATCTTACTCCCTCCCCTATCACGGTTCTTCCACTGCACATTATGTTATTTAGATGAAAAACTCACAAAGGGAGGTCTCTGCTTTATTGGTCCTGAAAAATACAAAAGGCTGCAAATGATTTAGGGCAGGTTCACACCATTTTCCGGTCCAGAGCTGGTCCGGAAAATGGTGTGAACCTTCCCCTAGTTCCAGTGCATACCAGACCAGACAAAATGAGACAAGCAGTATTTTTCTGGTCTGGTCTAGAACAGACTACGCTGGTGTGAACAGAGGCCAGAAATAGCATAGGGATACATTAGGATACATTTTGGGTCCGGAAACAATCTGGTCTGGTGATGATCTGGATGTGGTGTGAATGGACCCTAAACCAGTCACCCAACAGTGAAATACCAGCTTTGGGTAAACTGACCCTTTTGAAAGACCTTTAATTAAAGCAATATACTAAACACAATGATATATACTGCAATGAAAAAAAAATTCCCAGCGTCTATAAAAAGCTTGGCGCTACCTATGACCCTGGCATTGAGAATGTCAAACTAATGAGACAGCCCAGGTCTCCTGGTCATCCTGATGTGTCAGCCTCTCTGGTATGTAACCTGTTTTATTGGTTGGTGATGCTTGCATTTTAACCACCTTATCCATAATCAACCTCCACCTTTAAGTCACAAAGCAAAAAGCAGCGCCTTAACTTTACAAGAGACAACCCCATGCTTGCATCTCTCTCTCAAGAACAATAAATAATGAATCAACATCATAAAATATACATAACGATGAAAGCAGATTCCCTAAGCTAGCTAACATCAAATAAACCCGATTCTTTTATGTGTGGCTGTACTTATTAATGCAGACAGCTTTTTCCTAAAGTGGCCTGGTCACATGGATGAAGTGCCGGCTGCCAGGTCGTAGGTGGCACCAGCAACCCAGAGAAGACCACCCTTTGCTCATGCCTCGGGCAATGTCACCAGATCCTAGTGACCCAATTAGCTGGTCTCTGGTATATCGGCTTCCCCATTGGAGCGGGTTTCTGCCGCGGCCGTTTGTGACAGGTTCACTTAACAGGAAATGCTGCAGCTTGCATTTTGCTACGTACAATAAACATTTCCCAATGTAGACAAATAGATGAAAAGACAAATATAGATCACCGTAACTTCTCGGTATAAGAGGGAAAGGGGATTCTATTTGGGTTCCTCACATTCCACTCAAAAAGTATCCTGTACTGAGAAAGTAAGTAGGCAGACATTTCCTTTAGAAATGCTAGTTTCCTGGCTGTTATGCTGGTTCCAAGACTTCCGCAACTTGAGTCGCTGGCCCAGAACAAGGATGTTGGCCTAGGTCAAGGACTCCTAATGTATATAGGTCAGAGGTAACTAATGGTTTACAATTGGTAGCCTCCATACAGGTCTCCATTAGTTACCTCCATCAGCTCCCATCAAGACACTAGCCTAAGGATGTGAAGGAAGTCCAATCATCGGGTATCCTGCAGTTAAACATGAACATTTTTTGCCCCGAATCCAACCCTCTAGTGTGTTCCCTGGTTCCGTACCACTCTGAGCCCAGTGCCAAATCCCTGTAGATACTGGTATACTTCTCTTCTGAAGAACCTGACATCTGAGCCCATGTACATGAGCCATTGGGTTTTGCTTTAGGTATGAATGCGAGGCATATTTGGCCATCGGAAATATAACGTTAGCTTCACTGGGTTGTCTACAGGTCTACTTAACTCTTGAATGTAACCCTAATGTTGATCTAAAGCCAAAACTTCCAGAGACACAACAGGAAGTAAAGTGGAATCTCCCCAAAGTGACGAGGGGTTTGAACCCCAATCTTAACGTTCAACTTTATAACTAATCTGCAAAGCAATGTCATCTTTCCACCAAGTCATCCCCTAGTCCCTAAAATCTCTTTCCTTTCCCCCTCTGAAGGTCTGGCAAAGTTCATAAAGAAAAGTGTGACTGGAGAAATCCTGAGCCAAGTCCCCGGCTGACACGACGGTAGAGCGCGCGCCCCCCCCCTCCTGCGGCGATCAGCAGTTGCACGCTCCTACGGCTCAAAGGGAGTTTTGGCAGTTGTTCCGAGTTAACAAGATCACAAGGTACATTAATGAAGCGTCTGTCTCTTCTGTGCAAAATGTTTTGATCTTGCACAGTTACAAGCCATTAAATCCACGTCTGGTCCTGGGCTCCAGAGCCGCTTGTGAAATAATTGCAAATCCCTCCCCCCACCCTTGATGGATGGAGATGGGCCCTACAAGATGACTTCCACACTGGCGTGCGGTGGCAGGCTGTGTCAACGTCTTGTACTGACTTATGCTACAGTAAGCAGATTCTGAGTGCAATTTTAAAAAGCCACCAGCGTTCCAATTATATTCTTTCCACCTTCGGGGCATTGCAGGGTCACTTCCCGAGGTAACCCGGTGACACCACTATGTTGCCTTGAGGAAGGGATACTGCAAAGCCTCCAAACGTTGGCTGGACTATCATACGTGATGATCCTTTCTCTATAAGATGGTAAGAAGATTATTATTGGACTGCTGGGGACTTTTTACAATTATACTTGGATTCTATACAGCATTGTCTATTGCAGTCATGGCAGGCGCCCACTATCTACATTGGTTGAGTGCTTTATGGCGTGGAAGACATATGCATACTATAAGCTAGTGTAGATAGCCGAACTTCCGCCCTCCAGCTGTGCTGAAACTACAAATACCATCATACATCTGCCTCTGGCAGTCATGGACGTGGCTATCAAGGAAGCCCGTGAACGCCACAGAACCCCCCACCCCCCAAAAAAAAAAATCAGGACGGGCCCCCAAAAAGGTACCCACACCCTCTGTCCCTGTGGAGTCCAAACGTGCAGTCGTGCATAAAAATAGTGCTGGGACTTGTAGTTTCCCCACAGCTGGAGGTCCAAAGTTTGGCTACTCCTGAGCTAGCAGATAATGGTAGATTGTCAGCTTTTTTTCCAGGCTCTAGGGAGCGTGGGGAAGAATGAACCTGTGATGCGTGTCAGCCCCCCAAGTCCTACTCTATAGAAGCCATGGTTTCCATACACCGATGGCCAACAAGAATGAAGTATGGAATATGCATCTGTGCTGTACCCCTGAGGTTCTAGATGTACAGTTAGCCAAAGGGGGGGTAAAAGAATAATTTGCATGGCCCCACCCATTGTCCTTCCCTTATTTCTGGAATATGCAACGAATTGAGAAACGTGAATACTTTCTGTCCTAAGAATATTCTACTGCAGGGAAGGGTTAAAGTCTCTCGGAGGAGTTTATTGCTCTCTGCTGGGTCATTGCCCTTAGCTCATGTAACTAACAGGAAGTGAGAAGAAATTCCCTGATGGGGGGGGATGGGGGTTACAGGCCGCAATGAAAACCCTAATACAGTGGAAAAGGGTTAAAGTACACCTATCATCTCATCACAGCAAGCGAAGTAACAATGTACATGAGGCATGCCAAGGTGCCCGCTCCCACCTTCACAATTCTTCTACCTTTCTGTTGCAAAACTAACTTCTGAGTATAGAACTCTCATTACTCATTCTCTTCCCCACACCCCAAAATGCAATGCTGAAAGTGCCTATTGGCACACCCAAGCACTATCACGAGATGGGCTGGCCATTCAATCAATGGGCTGCCACACGAGCGGAAAACGCTGCAAAGTAGCTCATGCAGCATTTTCAGCTGCGAGCCTCCCGTGTTTCCTGCGCGTCCACACACTGGAAAAATCTTGCATCTTACCAGCCACATTTGGGGTGCCATTAACAAGTAATAGCACTGCAAGCGTGTTCCATAATCATGCAATGCTAAAGTGTGAACAGGGACCTAAAGCTGAACACTGGGAAATTTCCAAACTACTTATGCCGTGGAGCTTCCCCATCCTGCAAGGGTTAAATGTTTGTTCTTGTGTAGGGTACCATTAAAAAGCCATTTTACTTACCTTGCAGATTAACCCTTTATGCTATAAAGCATACCAGCGGTCAGCACAGTTTCTTTAAACAATCCCTATCAATAATTTTCTACACAAATGCCTTTAAAATACCTTTACTGGCTCTTTTTAATGGCAGTCATGCGACTGCTCTGCTCCCTCTCCGAGCTATGACGGGTGGGGAGACCCTTGATGATTGTCAGTTTCTGCCGACAAGACCAGGAGACCCACTTCCTGCCCATCAGTCTGGCAATGCAGGGCTATAAGGGGATGTTGAATATGGGACCACAGGCATGCAGTGCGTTGGTGTGGTGTTCCGTAGGTCCCAAAATCAAGGACACAACCTGAACAAACTAAACCGGACCCACTTCCAAGGTTAGCCTGGTCAGAAAAGAACAGGAAGGCAGGCATTGTGGAGGGAACTGGCAGGATTGCCAGGTATTTAGCCAACATAAGTTGCATTTCATCTAAGGTAGAGAGTGGTATCCATTGCTAAATTTTATGTGTTTACATTTACACGATTAAGCTCTTCGCTGCGCGAATGAGAGTCATACCACTGTATGGCCACTAGATGGAGCCGAGAAGTATAGGAATTTCCTATGGATCCTCAGCTCCATCTAGTGCCATACAGTGC